AGTAGCATTTGCAGGAAGGAGGTAGAAGCCTTGCCAAGTTACACAGTATGATGGGAGAGTTGGTCACCTACAGTGACAATGAGGCAGTCAGTCCATAAGAGGACTGAGGCACTTGCTGTGGGAACACAGGATCACTGAGGTGCATCTGTCCAAAGCTGTAATCTTGGAACTGCCTACTCAGATACCTGCTAAACCCCATCAGCACCTCAGGTTTCACTTGAAAGCTCCTCAAGTGCCTAACTGCCTACTGCAGGGCCTGTGCCAAAGGGCCTTAGTTTTCAAAGCATGGAGCATGTCTGCACCTATCTCCTGTCTAAGCTGCTCTGGCCTCCTTACTTCATTGAAGTCCCAAGTGGGCAGAGAGGAGGCTGGGTATTTTTAGCAGAGGTGTGTCCTGCATCTTGCTCTTTCCAGGGAAGCTCTGCCTGTAGCCTTCCCCCAAAAAGGCTTGTCTGGTCTCCATCCTGAAGGACCCGCTTCACCCAGCATTGGTCTGCCTTCTCAAGGACAAACCTCTGGCTTCAACATCGTGGCTCTTCTTCAAGAGGGGTGGTTGGGGGAAGGAGAGAACGAGTGGCAGTGTCCCAAGCAGCACAGTAGACAGCTCTGCTTCAGCCTTCAGTAGCAGTGGTGGGTGGGAGACAGGGGCATAGGGGGCGGAGGGGATGTGCCACTGAACATGGAAGGAAAAGAACGGGGAATTTGTGCCTGACTTGGGGACTTCAGTTCCCCAGAGGCTGCCCCTGTGGCATGGCCCGAAAGCAGGATGTGACTGCACCCCTATACCCACTCTGGGTGTATCGCTGACACCAGCTTTTCTGAACTTCCTTTCTCCTCAGATTGACCTCCAAAGGATCCTGTCCAACTGTTTCCTGACTTTGTTACTGTCTGAGCTGGTTAGTGTTCACAATGGGCTCTCAAAGGCACATCGCTGAGTGTTTGGGATCCCATTCTAGGGCGCTGAAGAGCTTGTCTCAGTGTTGATAACTCCCTGCATGTCGGGCAGAGGGACAACCCTGCTGTGCCCCTGCCTAGCAGACCTGATGCTGAGCACATCAGTGAGCCTCTTTTGGCTCATTGCTCAGGACATGTTCTCAAACTCCGGAGCTAAAGTAGCATCAGAATAAGGTCTGGGGATGTGCCAGGAGTAGTCTCACTGTAAACCTCTTGGGGTGAAGTCCCTTGCGGACTTAGGTGGGTGGGGGTGGCCTGCTAAAACCCCTGATGCTGATGGTTGGCCACCAGTGGTGGCAAAGGTGCAGCTCACATGGCCTGAGTGGCATGGGGAACCTTTGTGTACCCATATAGATTCATAGATTCATAGATGTTAGGGTTGGAAGGGACCTCAATAGATCATCAGGTCCGGCCCCCATGGGGAGGGCAGAGGCAGCACAATGACAGATCGGGCAGGGAGCAGAAAGCAGAGTAGCAAATCAGGCAGGGAATGCAAATAGGAGTGGCACTCAGGAGGGCATGGGACTGCTTTGTGGAAACTCTGACAAAAAGCTGGCTCTCACTGGTGTGGACGGTCATTTGATTGCAGCGGTATTCCTGCCCAGAACAGGTGGCCTTGCACTCAATGATCCTTCAAGGGCCCATCCAGCCCTTAATTTTTATGATTCTACGATTCTAAGATCAGGGAGCGTGTAGCGGGGGCAAAGTAGGAAATGGCCATGGACCTCGGGGCAGGGGAACCTGGGAGGGGAGGGGGAGGGGCCTGGCGGAACTCATCCCTGAGCGTTGCCGCGGCAGCGCTCGTATCATCGCGCCGGCGCCGGGGAACCGCAGTCAGTTGCACTCCGCGGCTGGAGCGGTGCTGACGGCTGTTCTCCATCTGGAGAGGAGCGGGTAAGTGAGGGATGGGGAAAGTGGCCCCCTCTTCTGCCACAACATGAGGTGAGCAAGGTTGCAGGGAGGAGTCACCAACCCCCTTCCTCAGGCAGGATCATCCCTGTTCAGACCATCCCATACACACCATTAGCCGAGCCTTGTATCAGGCTGCTCTCAACCCTGCCGCAACGCACACCTACCACCCCAACCTTGACAGAGGTGAAAGAGGGGAAGCACAGCAGTCAATGTCCTGCTTGTATGAAATGGTGTCACTGTACGCTCAAGAGGTCTGACGTAGAGGGCCATGCCCCCCCGTGGTAAATAGGGCAGCCAAACATGAGAGCCACGTTCGCTCAAGAGGTCTGACGTAGAGGGCCATGCCCCCCGTGGTAAAATAGGGCAGCCAAACATGAGAGCCACGTTAGGATCACACCTCAGGTTACCAGGTTGCGGCTCAAAAGGACGCAGTTTCGTCTAGGAAATGGCTGTATTCCTTCCTCTTTTTGCCTGTCACATCCTCAAACTCACCAATAAAACTATTAGCTAACAGTGTAGACAGCTCCTACCATTTAAACCCACAGAGGTGTCTCTCAATCCCGACACTTCTTCACTGACCGCATTGAAGGATTCACTTCCTTAGTTGCCCCACAGTCAACAGACCCAACTATTTCAGACAAATCCATGAGAATGAAAGACACCTTATGTTGTTGTTAGTGATTTTCTTGGTGACCGTCGCAGAGTCCCAGGAGAGAGCCTGTTCCAGAGGAGGATTTCTTTCCTGTCACCTTTCCCCTGCACAAGCAGCTGAGGATCAGGTAATGAGACAATGCACCCTGAGGCTCAGGTGGTGGTGAAGCTGGCAGGGAAGCAATGGTCTTTTTCTGATTTCAGGTTGGGGATTACTAATGTTTTCTACCAAGCGCGTGCGCAGTGCAGAGGAGCCCAACTCACTCTGGAGGCCAAGCCCTGAATAGCACATGATAGGAATTGCTTGTGCTTTAACATTGTTTGTGAATTTTATTTTTGATTCAGCCAATCTTTGCCTGTCCTGGTGACTCCAGGCTGCCAAAGGCTACCTGCCCCAGGTCCCCCTATCCAGCCAGGACGGATGGCGTGTGGCACACCACCAGTGTAGAGGCAACAACAGTTGTTGGTTAAGGAGATATGGTGTGGGATGTATTTAGGGTGCGCTACATGGGTACAGGCCTTGTCTTGGAAAAAGGAACTGGGTAAGGAAAGGTAGAGGGAGCGTGCCTTTTGAGAAGAGAGGCCGAGAGCAGCCATGAGGGGCAATGGGCCCGCGGAAGTTTATCTCGATTTGTCCTCGAGGGCAGTAAGGGGAAATCAGGGAGGGCCAGTTATCCCTGGGAGAGAGCAAGAGAAGTGGAAGGGATGCAGGAGAAAGGGAAGTGCTTTAATGTGTTTGTAGGGGAAGGGGCAATGCAAGACGGCATATTCTAACAAGCCTCTAATACCATCGCAGAGTCCCCTTTCAGATACAAGACAGATCCACCTAGTGGCATCGACTGAAGCGCCAAGCAGCTGCACAGACTCCTGAGAGGCGGGACTCCTTGAGGCCAAGGACCAAAGAAGAAGGCGAGGACACCAGCCAGAGGGACTGCGAGACTCTACCTAGCAGTCCGCCAGCCCTCCAGGGCAAGTGAGCAGTCCGCAGACTGTCCCAGCCACCTTCCCAATTCTGGCCAGGGAGGAGCAGCTGTGGGCAGGAAACCGTAACCGCAGTAGTGGTGACATGTCCTCTGGGGCTCTCCAGCACCATCATCAGTGCGTTTGCAAACTTCCCCAAGGAGTGGAGTTCCCAATACCCCCCTTGTCAGGGGCCATTCCCTCGCCAAGTATCCCGGGGAGCCCAAATCTGGGGAGCTTCTGAGCGCTCCCAGCTCCCACAAAAGGTGCCCTACTTCTCATGTGACTCTTGAACCCCAGTCCCAGGATCTAGCCCAGGGTGTATCCTGAGTCCCAATGTTTAGTCCCCCTGACTTGAATGAGGAGAGCAGGCAAGGGCAGGAGGGAGTTGTTAGTCCAAACTAACTGAAGGCCTTTGTTCATGAGCCAAGAGCTTGCAAACCTCTGGCACCCAACAGCTGGCTGGAATGGGGGGGGAAAAGCATGGGATGTGGGGGAGGCACCCAGCTCGGGAAAGGGGCAGAGAGACAACTAGGGAGAGACAGCTTTGAACCCACACTCCTGACTGTTCCTGTGTCAGGATGGAGAGGCTGAGGCGGATCCTCAGAAGGAGGACGACAAGGATGGCCCCAGGACCCGAGAAGGGCGGCAAGAGGCCTGAGGAGGAGGAGCAGGGCGGCCACCATCATGCAGAGGCTGCAAGAAAGAAGGGCAAGTGGTGGCAATGTCTTGTGGGCTGGAGAAAAAGGGCACCTCCAGCAGCCACGAAAGAGCAGGGAGAGGAGCCAGCCAGGCCCCGATGGAGGTGGCCCAGGATACGGCTGGGCAGGCAGGGCCCAGCACCTAAAGAGAGCCAGGCACAGCCCCCGCGCAGCTCCAGTCCCACACATAGCAGCCAGGACCCCAGCCCTGCAGCCCAGCAGAAGGCCACTCCACACGTGGCCTGGGAGGAGAAGCCAGGCTCCCCAGGGCAGGAGCTGCACAGGGTCTGTTTCACGCTCAGCTCCAGCTCCTCCAGGGACGACAGCGACAGCTCCCAGGAGGCTGTGGGCCTCCAGCAACATGCTGCCACCACCAGAGGTGAGGTGACAACCAGATGTCCTGTGCAAACAGGGCAGGGACCCCTGAGTGCAGTGAGTCGCTCTGCGATGGGGCCGGGGGATCCCAGGCAGAGCAACAGCCTGAGTAACAGGAGGCCTCGCAGCCCCAGTGTCGGCCACAGATGTGGTCCTGGGTGGGGAGCGGGAAGACGGAGCCTTGTACCTGAGGGTCCCCGAATCTCCCAGAGGGGCAGGCACCTCCCCGGGGTGCTGGGACAGGCAGGGCCTGAGCTGGTGGATAGAGAGGGGCCATACAGCACTCGGGCAGCCACGGGGCCATTTCTTGGGCTGGAGGAATGTGGACACACCTCTGCTCCGCACTGCCCCTGTGTTTCCCCTCAGCAGCAACAGGCATCAGCGTCTCTCCCTCTCCTCAATTCAGATACAATCCTGCCCTTCTACAAGGCAGAGCAAGAGCAGAGGGAGGACTACATCTACCTGGAGGAAGCCGCCCTCTCAGTCATCCTACGGCACCTCCAGAGCACGGAGCAGGTAGGAATATCCCAGAACTGGACCAGCACCAGCTCGTCCACCCTCCCACCACGTGGCCCTCTGGGGAGGAGGAACCGAGTGAGCCACAGCCTCTGATGGGCACGTGGAGCCCACATGGGCTGGGACCCTCGCCGGGGGTGCTTTTCTCCCAAAGAACCTGGGGACCCCTCCCCACAGAGACCCCACCCCAGTACCACAACCCATTAGCCCAGGAGGAGACGTGCATTGACAACGGGGGATACTAACAGCTCTGAGCCCCACATTCCCCTTGGGAGGGCAGACAGGTCCCTGGCTAAGAGCCTGCCTTTTCCCAATGCAACTTATGGCACTTGTAGACTGTGGAGGAGGGGCTCGCTTTCCTCCGTGCCATCCCCACGCTGTGCCTGGCTACAAAAGAGAGGGGCGAGGACACCCTGGAGCCGCCCTGCTGCAAAGCGGCACTTGTGGAGAGGATTGTGGTAAGTTAAAAAGAGCACTGGCTGGTTCGGGGCAGAAGTTAAGGAGCCAGGAGAGAATGTGTGAAGTGTGTGGGGGCTGGAGTGAAGAGGAGAGGGCAGGTGTTGCTAGGTGTGTGGATCGGGAGTAGAAAAGGGGGACATGGGGGGGTGAATTGGTACAGGGCGGTAGGGGAATGAGAGGGCTGGAGGACAGATGTGGGAGCGGGTGGGGAAACTAAACTGGGTGGCCAGCAGGGTGTCCGTGAGCATGCGGGAGGGAGGATATGGAGGAGCCATATTCAGTGGGTGGGAGGGAAGTGGCCCAGCAGGGTGTCCGTGAGCATGCGGGAGGGAGGATGAGAGCCATATTCAGTGGGTGGGAGGGAAGTGGCAGAGGGGGCCCAGGTGGCTGGTGGGATCCAGGCGCATCAGGAGTGCTGTGAGGTCTCCTTCTCACACTCCCCCATGTGTCTCTCAGGTGCTGATAGAGAACCTGTCGCAGTGTGAAGAAGAGCCCAGCACCATCCTCCTCTACAGCATGGCTACTGTTTGCATGCTCAGGTACTTGGTCCTTTGCCCAACTGCCCTAACCACAGCACTGCTCAGCCCCAGAGGTATGCTCCCTGGCCCCAGCCACGTAAACTGGTTCCTCTGCTTTGCCGATGGGGTGGGAATGTTTCCTTTCCCCAGGCTGTGTGTTGAGTTCTCCTGCAGCCATGACACAAGGGCCTTGAGCAAAGGGCTGGCAGTGGGGATACTGTAGGAGGGTCACAGATAAGTGGGAAGGGCAGCAGAGGGGCCAGTGGGCCAAACCTGACCCATGGGTGCTGGCACATGTCAGCCGTCCTTGAGGCTTCGATTCCTGTTCTTGCCTCTGGGTGCCTATTTCCCTGCTGAGACCTGCCCACTTCAGAGCCACTCCCAGCGCCACAGAGCTCCATCCCAGACAGGCTCCTCTTTCCTGACAGCACACTGAAGCCAGCCCTGGAGCCAGCCCTGGAGTTGCACCTCCTGCACACCGCCCTCCAGAACACCTTTCTGACGGCCACAGGGCACAACAGCCAGCACATCCAGGTACCTCCTTCTCTCACCGCACAGTCCCACCAGCCATCCCCTGGCAGACATGGCACAGGGCTTTCCGGCACTGACCCCCTTGGCTCTCTGTCCTCTTCCAGGGCATGAAGCAGATCAGCGTGGAGTACCTGGAGGCCATGCTGAGGTGCCTGCTGGCAACTGCACCCAGCTGGGCCAGGCTGCACTTCATCGGGCAGGTGAGCCCCATGGGGAGAGCCTGGGTTTGGGGCAGGGGCAGTCTCAATGGCCTGTGCACTGCAGGAGCTGGTCCTCAGAGAAGAATCCCTGGCTCCTTCCTTGAGACAGGAGGCATGTGGCGGGTCAGCATGCCGATCCTTCAGAGATTTTGCACAGAGTGGAGGATGCCCCTTTGGATATTGGCTTTGGAGCTTGGCAGGGATGCAGGATTTTATCTCCTGCCTGTCATGCTGTCTGTGTGTCAGAAGGCCAGAGAGGAGAGAATCTGGTCCCAGCTTCAAGAGACACGAACCAGCCCTGACCTGCAGAGGGGAGGTGGGGGTGGGAGGAAAAGCGGGTTTGGAGGCAGGGCCATGCTGGGGGCAACAATGCCCTCTTGGAGCATTTGTCCCCCTGAGGTTGATGTTCCACCCTGGGCTGCAAGAGTCAGCACTGAGGAGGGGACCAGGGGGGCAATCCTTGGTACAACAGGGGCACGTGTCCACTGCCCTGGACTTCTTCCTCTCACAGCACTTGATCTTGTGGCTCCAGTTGCAAGATGAGAGGGACAGAGCCACAGCCATGAGGGTCACCACCAGCCTACTCTGCTTTGCAGTCTCTCTCCACCCACAGTTTGAGGTAAATGACCCTTGTGCCAGGTCCTGACTTTAGGCAGAGGCAGGGCTGGCCCAAAAGACAGTGGGATTTGCAGAGGTAGCGGTAACTGTGGGATAGGACAGGGGATCCCTGCCTGCCAGCGTGAGGGCTGGGAAATGGAAAAGGATGTGGAAAAGCTTGAGAGAGTCCGGAGGAGAGCCACGTGCATATTCAGAGGACAAAAGAACAGGCCTTCTGATGGGAGGCTGAGAGCCAGGGCACTCTTCATCCTGGAAAAGGGCAGGCTTTCCCAGGGGTCACCTGGGGGCTGCCTCTAAGTATAGAAGGGGTGTACATCAGGATCTGGGGAACATCTGTTTGTCAGAGTGCCCCAAGGAATGACAAGGTCAAATGGTCACAAACTGCTTCAAGACCGGTTTAGGCTAGACATGAGGAAAAACCTCTTTACTGTCCGAGCCCCCAAGGCTTGCAATACACTCTCACCAGAGGTGGTCCAAGCACCTATTCTGGACTCTTTTCAGAAACCTTGGGATGCCTATCTTGCTGCGATCCTTTGACCCTAGCTGACTTCCTGTCCTTGGGTCCCTTCCAGCCCTAATGTATATGAAGTCTATGAAATCTATGAAGTGGCTGCGTTTGAATCAAGGGCTTGTGCTCCTGGCTAAGAGGCCCTGTCCGAGTAGAGAACAGCAGCTGCCATAGAGTGCTCCAGGCAGATTCACGCCTGTCGTAGGAGCCCTTCTGCTCCTCCTGAAGCAACAGGTGCAGGGAGTCTTCATGGGGGCCCCGTCCTTGACCCTTGGCTCCCTGCTGCGTGGCAAACAGAGAGATTTCATTCTCGGGCTCCAGCTCCTTTGCTCCAGGCCTTCATGCAGGGGCTGGGAGGAAACGCACACGGCCCAGAGTGCCTGAGGGCACTGCCGGTCAGACATAGATGGACTCCCCTCTCCTCTGCCTCTCCTTAGGACTCACCCAAGGTGCTGCAGGTGGGTGACCTGGTGGCCCTGCTGGGTCTGTGCATCAGCGACCCAGTGGAGGAGATAAGCCGCCAGGCCAAGGAGGGCCTCTTCCACCTCTACAAGATCTTGGTGCACCAGAAGGGTATGGAAACCTTGAGTCCAGCTGTAGGAATCTCCTGAGAAAGTCAGGCTGTCCAGGGTCAGCAAGCTGGGAAGGTGACCTAGGGGGAGAGTTCACAGAGGCGTGAAGGCCAAGTAGCCTCAGGGAGGGCAGAGGCACTAGCCTAGAGCTCAGGGGAGGGACTGTAGGGTGTTATGTAACCCTTGGGCTACAGCCTGGCTTCAGTGAGATCAGGAAGTCCCCCTCTTAGACATCATCTGTACCATGGCACCAATCCCAGGGTCTGCAGATCAGAGCGCTGACATGTTTTCAGTTCTGAAGCCAGAACAACAGCTCTGACCAGCCTCTCTCTGTCCTAGGGCAAGACATCCAAGAGGCACAGGAGCTGTGGCACACCAGCCAGCACCAGAACCAGCCCCGCCGAATCCTCCTCTACATCCATCTGGCCACAATGGGAGAGGTAAGGCTGCTCTGCCCATTCTGTACACCAGCTTGGGCGGTGGGGCTGTGTTTCCCTGGATTACCTGCCTCCTGCCTTCAGGAGGAAGGCTCTACCTTCAGCCCACAGCACCCTCCGTCAGGCTCAGAGCGAGAGGCAAGAGTGCATGGTCGTAGGTCCAAGTCTTAGCAGTGTCCACGCTTTGTATGTCTTGTATGGTGTGACACGGACGTGGCCCGAGGACAATCCCCTGGGAGGGGGAGTTAGCGCAGGAGCCCACTGTTCCTCCCTGACTGACACTGGAGGCCCTGAGCTGGGCAGCCCTGACCTGTGGCCGGCAAGCGGCCAGCACACACCCACCATTGCTCCAACAGATCCTTGCAGGAAGTCCCATTCTGTGCAGAAGCGCAGACATGCTGTGCTCTTCTCTCCCCAGTTAAAGAGCAGAACTGCCCTCCCCTTGGGTTTCAGGAGGCGGCAGTGTGAGCTCCCATCCCAGGCTACCTGACAGCCCTGTGTGAAAGGCAGGGAGAAGGCCAGGGCAAGAGAGGGGAACAAGACCTGAGTCCGCCTCTCCTTACCTGGACTTTGCATCCGCTGAAGGATTTGAAAGGCTCTCAAGCAGAGTGACCTGCCATGGCTCCAGCCGGGCTCTCGCTCTCCCCACAGCCCATCAGTAGAGCAACGCATTCCCAGTTCCTTGGCGGGGAGCCTGGCTCTGGGATGCACCAACGCCTTGTGTCCTCTGGGTTTCAGGCCTTCAGGAAGATTCTCTCCGAAGACCAGAGGAGAGCGTTTGCAGAGAGGGCGCTGCTGGGGATCCACCACATCATGCTGCATGTGAGCCAGGCCGGGGTGGTTCTGCTCTATGCCATCCTGGGGCAAGCTGGCCACCTGATGGGGGCAGAGGTGAGCAGCATGCTTGGATTCAGGAGATGAGTGGCAGGAAACACCCTTTCACTTCTAGCCAAGTTCTGTCACAGGCCCCCCCACTGAGCTGTGCAGCACGTGACCCCCATGTGCCGTGATGGGTCACTGGGTCCCAAGTTGCTGCAGTTGGCCCAGTGTCCACCTCCTCACACCAGCACCACCAGCAGTGTGCAAGTAGAGGATGGGATGGGCCACCAAGACTGCCTGCCTGAGCCCAACCCCACAGCACAAGGGGGCATGTCCACTGCTGCTCCCCAGGCTATCATTGCTGTGCATGAGAGGGGAGCATTCAGCTAGCTTGGGCTGCCAGTCAGCCCCATTCCACATGGCTGCCTCCTCCTGTCTTCAGTATGAGCCAGGGGGGCCCTCAGAGAATGTCTTGGCCACCCCTGCTTTGAGTCCTCTACTGCCAAAGCCCCTCAGTTCTAGCCCCTCCCTGCACCACCTGGGAGGACAGAAGTGGGTGAGAGGTTCATGGGGGCCTGAACTGCTTCCCTTGATGCATGGGAGAAAGAGATCTCTGTGCGAGGAATGATGGGGCAGGGTAGGAACTCAGGCTGCTGTGGGAGAGGGCGATTTCTGGGTAGGGAAGCAGAAGAGGGGATGTGTTTGGCGGGGAACAACACGTCTGCTAGACATGGCTTTGGGCTGATTTGGGATTGTGCTGGCTCCAGTGTCATTATCCGGCTGTCCCTCGTGGCCCTGGAGTCCCTGACTGGTTTGTGTGCCCTTGCAGGAGAAGGAAATTCCCGTCAGGGCACTGAGGAAGCTCCTGATCCTGAAATGCTTCCATCAGCTGCCCAAAGAGCTGCAGAGGCACAGTCATCTGGAGAGTGCCTTAAGGAACCCCTCCTCTCTGCAGTAGCCTGATCCATCTTGATGCAAGCAAAGGCTGGGTGTGAGGCCATGGATGCCATCTGCGAGGCATGGGACACGGTATAGGGGAGGTCGGAGCCGTGTATATAAGCCCTTGGTATCAGCGTGTGGCAGGGCACTGCTGGTGCCTGCCACTTCAAGGGCTGGGTCAGGCATCCAGCAAGTGCCTGATGGCAGCAGACATTTTGACAACTTAGTATATAAAGGCTGCAGGTTGCTGCTGCCAGCCGAGGCAGAAACACCGCCTCGCCTTGCTGCAGCAGGAACAACCAGGCGGTAAGGGAAAATGGGGATGGCTAGGAGGCTCTTGGTCCTGGGCACGAACTAAAACTGCACCCTGCCGGGGTTGGGTGGCCTGGTGGGGCTCCTAGTGGCGTGGGAGCCCCCAGGAAATGCCAGGCCAGTTACCACCCCGCTGAAAGGCGGGTCGGGGCGCCTTAATAACCCCAGCTCCCACAACCGGGTGAGTAAGCCCATAGTAGGGCTGAGAAGGTGGAACCCGGTGAGAGAGCGGACTAGATGCTCACAAGCCTGACTTGATGAACCTGCAACTGGTCAATGCTGGGGCCAGGACGAGAAGGGGCAAAATGGCCAGGGGCCCGCCTCGAGGGACGCCCAGAGCTAAGGACCTGGGGTTTCCAACCGGTCTTGGAGGTGAGGCCAGGGCCTGTGTGGCCAAAGGTCCCGGGGTGGGGTGCCACACCTGAGAGGCGGAGGAGTGCAGGGAGGTTGACAGCCCAGAATGAGGGAAGAGTAGGCCGCCTGATTGGATGGAGCCAGTTGGGGTCCAGACTGGAGGATTATGGGGCCAGGGTGGGGCCAGAGATGCTAAGAACTGGTTGACCAGCTACGAGGCATGAGCTGTGGTGTTGGGGTGGTTTTGGAGCTGCAGATAGCGTCCCCTGGCACAAGGGCAGGAAATGGACAACCTCCTGCTTAATTGAGACTATCATTTTGTATCACCACGGTGTGGCAGGAAAGAGAGGTGGGTGCTTAGCCCAGAAACAGGTGAGCAGGAAGGCCCTCCTGTTACACAGTGCAAGTAAATGGGCAGCTTCCTGCCATGTTATCATCTTTCACCTGTATCATCAAGGGTGTGGCAGGTGAGGGAGGCGGGCAGTTAGCCCTGAGACAAGTGGGTGGGTCAACGATTTGACCGGCCCCACGATGCCCACTTCTTACAAGTGGACAGGAGGAATAAGGTTCAATCAAACTGACCAGCAGCACTGTTGTTGCTCGGGGACTCCTGGTTGGGACATGCCCCTGAATTTGGTTGGTCTTTTAGAGAGACGCACTGAAATTAGATTAAGGGTTCAAAAGCATAAAAGGGATTGCTCTAGGACTAACAGGAACATGAGAATAAAGAGTTTCAAGTGTGATGATGACAAGGCAGGTAAACCATGGGAAGCACACACAATAATACCAATGCAATACGTTATGAAATATCACAATCAACTGGAAGACCCGGTTGAAATAACAGGAAAATGGCAAATGGCAACCAGGAAGCAGACAGTCAAGAACGGGACAGAAAATTATGGCAATCCAGAGAATGAAACCAGTCCGTCAATCCAAGGCAGTTCAAATGGGTTGGAAGGCAGGAAGGCAATCTGGGACTGGGTTGTTCAGCACTATTGCCTCTCACCCTCCATGGGGAGCAGAGAAAAGTACACTCACCAGGCTCAGAGAATCAGAGGCAGCCAGGCACAGCTCTCCCACAGACGCACCCTCTCACCACACAGGAACTGCACACGCACCCCAACGCTTGATCCGCACTCCCACGTTTGCCCCTCCCTTGAACCCGAAGAGCGCCCAACAGTGGGTCTTTATTAACTCCAAGCATAGCACTTTTGCCAGTCAAACCAAGGTAAAGGCTGTCAATCACTTTCAGTCACAGCGGTTCCAATCGTCTTCATATTCACTTGTTACATTCACCTGTCACGTACTCCAGTCACTTAGCTTTACCTCACGACTCGCACATACGTTTCCTGCCACACAATCTGACCCATCTGCGCATGCCCAGGCTTTCCTTTTGTAATTAGAAGATGAGTTTCCCTGTTATAACAATGAAATGAAACCAAAAGAACCCCAGTATAATATAAACTAATAAGTAAAATACAATAAGAAAGCCAAACGAAAGCATGACAAAAGTAGATCATGAAGCGTACAGGCTATACATTTCGTAGAGACTAGAGGAAGGGGAGAGCTTCACATTGTATACAACTAACAAACAAATATACATCTAGCTTTTCAGGGATACCACACCACGAAAGAAATCAACTTCAAAACTTAAGAGAAGATTCATATTGCACCCCATTTCGTTATGCTGAGCCCAGTTATGTCTATTTGCATATGACCTCTTTTCCATTTACGCCACATGCAGAAGTTCTTTAACCATTCCGACAAAGCAGGTACACTGGGAGTTTACCATCTCCTTGAAGGAGACAATTTTCTGCAAACAAACAATCCTTTCTGCAAAAATCTTATGAGGTGCAAACAGAAGACTAGCCCCTTGTTTTAACTCATGGCATTTTTCAGGAAGTGCCATGAGCTACAACCATCTCCTAGACCCAACAGAAGGTCACTGTTAGGTCCCGGAGGTTGGGGAATCCAGCTGTAGTTTAGGCCAGCTGCGAGCCTTCAGCCGCTCTTCCGTCACAATGTTCCTGCCCGCTCTCCAGACCTGGCATGGTTTTCTTAATGGGAGTGGGGAAAGGGAGGAGAAGAAGATCATTCGGGGGTTTCGCAGCCAGTGCTGGAGGCTGGGGGGGCAGGGGGGGTTGGAATGGAGCCCCCACACCTCAGGGGGGCTCCGATCCACCTGCCCCATCCTCTAGCATTGCCTGAAAAGCCCCCATACTAAACTCCCTCTGATCCATTTCCCCCTCCCCTTCTGAAAACAGCAGCAGGGGTGGGAGGCAGCACAGACAACAGTTACTGAGGGCGCTCCGTTTTGGAGCGTCTTCATCTGAACCCTCATTCAATGAAGGTTCTGATTTTCACGGGATCAGGCCCTTTGAAAGCTGTGGAAATAAGTTTAACCAGGCCTCTTAATTGACTAAGAGGAGAGACAAAGAGAGAGAAAGAGAAGAGAAAAAGATGCTGATGCTATGTGTTTCAAAATGTTCTAAGATAAGAAAAAACCTTCATGCCTTGTTTTATCTTGATACATTAAGCTTTGTGTGCAGATTTTAACCTCCTCCTCTCCTTCGAACTACAAGCTGATAACTGTTCCCAAAACATAGGGTTTTCTTTCCTGAATAGGTAAAGTGCTTACGTGTGACAAACAACATCTTTCGGTTTCTCTCAAGGTTGCTTTGTCTGAACCCTGCATCTTTTCTCTCTGTCTAAAGTATAAATACGCTTGTAAACTTGTAGAGGTCAGAGTTCCTTTGAGACCCCTCCCTGTGATCACTTGTATAGCTTTAAATAAACCTAGGTGGCTCTGCCAATTCTAATACAACCACAAGGCGAAGTTTGATTTCTTCCACAAAGTGCTCTGCAGTTGTGCACTTGTGCTTGGTCATGGCTGTAGAGCACTTTCAGGGGCCTGATCTGGCAAGAACTGTCACTTCTGTCTGCGCCTTAAGGCAAGGAATTAAAAGTTTTACAAAGGGGTTTCCAGATACTATCCCAGGTTGCGGACAGACATTGCTTTTCTGCCATTTAAAGTGCTTTATTGCTGCCGTTTAACAGAAGCACCTGGCTTTACCGCACTTTAAAAATGGGTACTGAATTTGAAACCCGGTATTTTACGGCAGTTTAACAAGCGACCGCGCTTTAAATAACTTTTGTACGCTGATGTCAAATATTTGACCAGTAGAAAAGCTCTAAGGAGGCTGCGGAGCACCCCCCAGCTCTAAATCTGGAAAGTGCAGAGGAGCTCAGAGGATCCCCTCACCAAACACTACACCTCAGTCATGTTTAAGAGCGCTGTAACTTTAGAGCGCTATAAAAATGCTTTAAATTACAGTGGTGTAAAATGTGCACAGAGCACTTTTGTACACACCCTCATTTCTCAAGTGTTAACAATATCTGTAACTCCTGCCACCATTTACCTTTAATGATAACAAGTGCTGGATAGAATACTTTATTAAACTGTATTATTATTATTTGTCTGTATTACCAAGAAAGTGAGAATTCTCCTTAGAAGATAACACATACACAATTGGAAAGGGATGAGACAAACAGGAATCCTGGTTTTCCCTGATAAGAAAAAATCAAATATTCTGATAACCCCCCCTCAAAAGCATGATTAAAATGTAAGGCCCCGCCGCAACCTCCCCCTCCCCAAGGCCTGTCCTGCTAGTGTCCCTCACCCCCATCCAGAACCCCTGACCCCAACCCTGGCAGAGGGGCCACCAGCTGCCACAGCTTCTGCACAAAGGACCCCGGTTCATAGCCCCCTGCCCCAACAGAAGGCAGTGGCTGCTGCAGCAGAGCAGAGCCCAGCTGTTCCCCGCTGCCTGCATGCTCAGGCAGGCGGGGGAGTCGCGGGGGGCAGATCCCCACCACTGCGTGCACTCCTGGGTGGACGCGGCATGCCAGTAAAGAGGGAAATCCGCTTTTTACTCTGTTTTTCCATGGGAAATGGAAAACCTAGATTCCTTGTGATAAATTACTCCATATATTTGTACATGTCTTATTCACCTGAGCGCAGTTTTTGTAGTCTGTCCTCTTCATTACATCACTGAAACACATCACACAGAGAAATGTAAGATGCAAGACTACTATCCTTAATGATGGATTTTATTGTATTTTTTTCCAGTTATCTGAGGCCATTTGTAGACTGCTCAGCATATATGCTTAAAGACACAGGATGCATATACATGTGCTTGGGGAGGGGGGCAGGGGGCATTTTATAAGCTACCCGAACAACACGTATCAAGAATGGAATCACCTTACTACGTCTTAGAGCTCATAATGTTGTGAGAAACTGGTAATCAACATTCAATAATGAGATTGGGCGGTAGGCTCCACATGTTAAGCCCTCCTTTCACTTGAGTAGAAAAATGGATAAAGCTGTTCTTGCTTCTCTAGACACAATTCCATTTTGAACTATTTCATTGTACCTAGCTTATAATAATTGTTGCCACACTTTTCAGGAAAGTTTTCAAAAATTCAGATGGAAAACTGTCAGGCCCCAGAGTTTTCCCTCACTTTGAGGAATGCATCTCCGCCATAACTTCCTGTTAATTTTATCCATGAACTGACTGAACATTGACATATTAAAATCTAATTTCTATAGCTTTTAATCT